TGTCTGCACAACTCTACAGGAACCTTACCAGGATGAGGACCCTCTCATTTGCACTGTATCTATAGAGCTGGCTCAGATCCTGACATCCAGGAAGAGCTGGATAAATATGTATTGAATGACCTAATATATATTGAATACACACAAAGTACAGAAGCATCCAGGGAAGGCAGTGACTAACTAGAGACTGACTCCAGAAGGGGCCCACAAGGGCCCACTGAGAGGGCTCCAGTGATGCCACCCCAGGGGATGGAGCCCACTGTGGCACCTCTGGTCATGTAATCAGCATGACCAGCTCTGTTTCTCATCCCACCAATGTCTACCTGGGCCTTCCTGAGTCCACCTAGGGTCAGACTTCCTGTTTTCACAGGATCCTGGTATCTAGCAACCTCCCCGATCCAGGCAGAAAGTTTCTGCTAAAAGCTGCTAGAAACCAAACCACCTTTTCTGGGACATACATAAAATCTCCTCTGGGTTCCTGAAGATGATTTTATGGGCTTCCTTATCAGGGCTGTACAGAAACTGCAGGTGCTGAGACAGACACTTCCTTAGTTAATCATTCAAATAGGAGGCCAGGTTACATTAAAATGATGGATATGGGGCTGAAAAATACATTTGGATGCCCTCTATGGTCCCAGCCTTTCTCCCCACACCCTGATCCCCTCACCTCAGACACAGCCTGGTGCTTAAAGGTACAGTGAGGTTCAGATCCAGAGGAAGGCACTTGAGGAGGCTGTTAGCTCCCCAAGTGGGTGGGCTCCCTTGTAGCTGGAGTATGCTGCCTATGTTCACCTGTCTGTCCTCAGAAGGTCTGGAAGAGGGCCTGGGAATGGGTTGATAGGGGTTTAAATGTACAGTAACTCACATTCAAAACTCTTAACCATCAAATGATACGCTGTGTTGTCAAATGATACGCTTGAGACCAGGTTGTCAAATGATACGCTTGAGACCAGGTCTCCAGGCTCTCTCTCCGCCTTCTTCACACTGCCACATACTCTCCTCACCAGGTACAGAAAAGGCCAAAGACCTCTGCAGCTCATATATTTCCTCCTCCTGCTCTGCAGCCACAGCTTGGGTGGGAGCCACACCCAGCAAGAACAGACCTAGGACAGACGCTTGGCAGCCTGACTGTGCACATCATTTTCATCACCTCCTTCAGCTCAGCACAACTCTAGACTCTACCCAGTGGGCCACCATCAGATGTGAGGACATCTTGGAGGACAGAGGGACAAGGGAGTTGGGAAGATTGCCTCTAAGAGGCCAACATTGCATTTCACCTTCCTCTGCCTCCCAGTTCGTGGCTCAGAAAGATTTATGGTGCTGCATACACGGGTCACTCTTGAGATCAAGGTGATAGATCTTGCAGCTGACAGGCCTCCTCAATCAGCGCTTCAGGAAAACTTCCACAGCTGATAAATGAGCTGTCTCTAAAGCCTCAGTGACAGGCTCCTAAAGGTCTTGCATTACTTAGGATATCTCATTCATCCTGCAGGAGAGATATCCACCCTTGATGTCAATATAGCAAGAAAGACAGCAGAGTGAGGGTCCAGAAGGAGCCTTCCTTGCCCTGTCCTGTCCCAGGGCGCCCACTCTCTATCCCCTCAGCAGTGCCAAGTGCACAGGGAGCACCATCAGCTTTCAATGATAAGGAGCCCTGCATATGGTTAGTGCTCAGCCAAGGAAATTTCAAGGGCAGAAGTGAGAGGATGGACAAGCTGACTGGTGGAGAGGGAACCACAAGGCATTTGAAACAGAAAGCTAATAAGAGCTTTGTAGCCAACACTGCTCAATGCTTACCCAATGTCCCTGTGCCCCTTCTTTTTCCTAGGTGCAAATCTTGAGTTTGTTTGGAGGAGCAATGGGCCCAGTTAAAAGCATTCATCTGACTCTCTTGCAGCTAAGGGCACTACAAGGAATCTAAGTGGTATTCTACTAGGGATTTCTGGAAAGTCCTCTTTTTCCTGTTAGAGACACCACCCTTTTTGCCTTCCCTTTCCTTTCCTTGTCAAACCTTTTTGCAGATGCGGTAGTATGTGTGGAGCATCCATCTTGCAACATGCTAAGGATGGAAGAGAAAAAAGACAGAAAGACTTAGGATCCCGATGGCATCATGGAACTTCTTTGCCAGCCCTGGACTGATTACCTCTGGACTCATGGTTATGTGAGCCAAATAAGCCACCCTTCAGTTAAGCCACTGCTGTCATGTGGAGCCAAACACAATCTTAGGTGACAGAGTCCAAGTTCTGATTCTAGGAATCTGATCAAGTTGTTCAAGCTCTTTCTCGCCTGTTTCTCTGTCTGTAGAATGGGAAATACTAAGAGGAATAAACACTACCACTAATAAATATCCTACTCTGCATGTTTCTCATGCACGAACCACTTCACTGAGAAAGTACCCTTTGTATACAATAGGTAGAGACCTACTGCACACAACAGTATCTGTCTTGGCTACCTCACTGGGCTTTTTCAAGAATCAAAAATTCCTTGAAATTCCTTACTAACATAAACAGTAACATATGTGCTACTAAATCCCACATTCCATGGAGTCAGTGGGATCAAAGCCAGGAAGATTCTGTACTCCTAAAGCAGGAAGTAAACTGGGGAGACATTCCCCCAAACCCACGCTAAGGGAAGGAGACAACAAAAGGGACTTAAACATAGTTGTGCCAAAGAGAAAGCAGCCAAGGGGCTGCAGTAGACCAAGCCCCCTGTGCTGGTTTGCACAGAGGCCTTCTTCAGAAGTTGAACCCCAGGGGTACCCCCCAGACCAGACAGGACCCTGGAACAGAGAGCCCAGCTCTCTTCCTGTGTCTTTCTTCCCTCCACTCACACTCCTGGCTCACGGTGACCTGTGTGCTGTCAGGATGTCCTCAGTGTGGTCACTGCAGGAGACTGGGTCTCTTACTCAAGAAGCTGTTCTGCCAGGCACAGCCTCCCTGCGGCCTTGAGTGTCTGCCTTCCATGTTTTAGGGCCTTGTCAAGTAACCTTCTCCACAAGCTCACAAAAATGGTGTCAGCATCCATATTTTATAGTCGGAGGCACTGACGCTGAGAAGTAAACGCTGGCTTGAGGCCACAGCCTCACCTTTCCAGAGGCCACATGTGAATCCATGTCTCCTCTAATGCTTCTGGTCTGAACCACTAGGCTGACCTGTCTTGTGTCACTTTATGAAATGATTGCCTCTCACTCTGTCTCCCCCAGGTCTCTGTCTGGATTTCTGTATGAGTGGTATCTCTGGCTGTGTGTGCATGTCTGTGCATGTACATGTGCACATACAGGCATCTTTCTCATGACATTTCTCTCCCTCATGACATTTCTCATGACATTTTCCCTCCCTCTCTCCCTTTGTGTGTCTCATTCTCTCTTGCTTGGTGGCAATTTCACACCCCTTCCCCAGGTGTCTGTGAGTCTGCCCCCCATTCTCTCTGGGTGTCCATGTTTCTCTCCCCGCCAACTCGAGCCCTACTAGCACCCCATACTCTACTTGTTGTTTTCCACCACTTGAGCACTCCTCACATACTTTTCTTCTTCTCCTGTGACTAATTCCTGAATGCTGAGAGATAGGCACAGGAGATGCAGACAAAGTCAAGCACACCGTGTCCTCTGGGAGTTAAAAATCCACTTTTCCAAGTTTGGGGAGGGATCTGGCCAAGAAGCCCCCACTTGTCCCTTGGTGGCTCTGGCTTGAAGATGAGCCTGACCCTTCTGAGCTGTCCGTCTGTCACCCGGAACTGGGAAGAACCACTGACATCCTGAAGGATACTGCAATTGTCCAGTTTGTTAACCAGAGGGGAGCCCAGGTTCCCAAGGAGGTGGATTTCACAACTGCAGCTGAGCCAAGCCTCCAGGCCTGCTTAATAAGAGGCTCACCTACCATATGGTGAAGCCAGCTCAGCTGGTCATTTTACTCTTAGGATCGGACTCCTGGCAACCACAGTTACTCATGAGGAGGAGGTGGAAAAGGGATAAGGCAGAGCAGGTGATAGGAAATGTCCAGCCTCCAAAAGGCAATGCCACCTCCCTCAGAGGTTGTCACTGGGATTAAAGATCAAGTTCTAAAGCATTTAGCAGTGTCTGGTACAAAATAAGTACGTAATCAAATGTGGCTACCGCTACTATCATCATAGTGACAAATATGATTATTAACCATAATAGAAAATGGAGACATCTTTGGTCCAAGTGGCCAGAAAAGTTGGGCTTCAGCATTCTTCTTGAGCCATCTTTGCACTTTGCACGGACTCCTAGGTGCTCCTTAGCACCTCCTCCTCCCCTCATTACCTCCTCAAGGCTGTAGCAACAGAGGACTAAGGACACAACTTGACACAGCAACCATATCCTGGCTCCATCTCTCTGCACAGCTGCTACCTTCTGCAAGTTACCTAACCGCTCTGCATGTCATATTTTCATCTGTGAAATGAAGACAATAAGTAACTTGGAAGACCATGAGGAGGATTAAATGCATTGAGAGAAGTAAAGCACTTAGAAAAGTGCCTGGCACATAGTAAATACTCAATGAATAAGTGCTATTATTTCATATGCCTTGGTATTTTATAAAAATTCAAAAGTTGTACACATTTAATAAAATATAACTGTTATTTGTACACTTGATAATAAAAACATAACATCTGTAAAATCTCCAGGTCTTATTAACAAACTTTTAAAAATCAATGTTTGTATGTAGCCAAATCTCTATTTCCTCTTCCCTTTGCCTGAGACCAGCACACCCACCTTACAGCATCACTAGACAGTTGTCCACACCACCGAACACCACTGAAGAGACTGGCCTCTCAGGGCCTCACAGAAGAAGGTCTTTGTGGGTGTGGCTCTATGCTGCAAAGCCAGAGAAGAGACCAAAGGAACTGAGACCTGTCTAGCAGATCTTAAAAAAAAAAAAAAGTTTTTAATCTGAAGATATGTGGGAATAAGTCTGTCCTTTTCATGTCTGAGACACAGTGGAGAGCCTGGACTATAGAAATGAAATACTGAGAAAGTTTTTCACAGTTCAGCTTTTATTAAAATTAAAGTCACATGAAGTATGGGAAACTAGAACTTGATTCCTGTTAAAATAATACATTTCAGTAACGGTTTCTTCAGCTATCGGTGTAACCAATGGAGCATATGACAAGCGTTCTTTTACAAGATATATGGTCTCTAACATCTAAGCAGAGAATACCAGAGTAAGGACCCTACTGATGCAATGTATTAACAGGGTGTCAGTCACCAAGTCTGCCTGCCTATAGACAACCACATTGGCAGAGCACCCACACAGACATACACATTCAGTGTCTTGAGTCTTCTTTCAAAGTATTTCATACATCATATACAAATTAAACAAGAAGTCCAGCAAGGGTCCTTTATTGCCACTGAAAAAGGGGGAGATAATTTTCAATCTCAAGCAGAGGCAAGAACATAGTACTAGGGCAATTTGTTTCTTCAAATGCCAGAGTCACATGCATTCCTGCCTGGGTTAATGTCACACCCACACGTCACTCAGCCCTGTGACAAAGGCTGTGCAGGGACTGCTGAGGTTGTGATTATCCACTATGGAAGAAGTCTCTTCCATTCCCAAATGTACAAAGTGCTGCCGGCTCACCTGCTTGGTCACACAGCACACACAGCACAGATGAACATGAGGGGCTTAGGACTCTAAATAGTGCAAACACTTAAAAAAAAAAAACATTCCAACCTCCTTGCTTCTCCAGGTGAACAAAGCCTTAAAAACTCCAGCTTGGAATATGAGTTTGCTCAACCACCCAACCTGATCCAACAAGGTGCAAATGGGGAGCATGGAGGCAATTCAAATGGCACCTGTCCCAATAATAATAAAAATAAAGATTTTTTTTAGTGAGACTAATGGCAGATAAATACACAAAATAGAGCCTGGAGTACAGACACAGCTCAAGAAACAAGTAAGTTTTAGGTGTAGTGTGAGTATCTGTAAAGTACATGCTTAACATATTCGTAGGGTTCATGAAGAGTGACCCCTCTTTTAAAGTTCACAGACAAGTTACTTCCAAACGGGACATCATCCAGCAACAAAAGTCTTTAGCTGGTGGAAGCTTCAGAAGAAAGAGGAGATCGAAAAGAATGAGGACTGGTTTGCTGGGCCTAGGAAACCCCCGGGAGTATGTACTGGAGAGCAGGCCTTTCTCTGGAGCTTCTCCATGCCACAAAATGCCCAGCTTAGTGCCAGTGCCAGGCAGTGACCAGCACGAGGAGATGGGCCAACCAGCCTCACCCCTGCAGAGAGAGCGGACTCCAAAAAAAGTGGACAGGCAATCTAGATGGCTAATAGCTGGGTCAGGCTAAATGTTAGTCCCTAAGCAATTCAAGAAACACCAGTGATTGTGTTTTCCAGCACTCTCCCTTGAATATGGTCTAAGAGAACTCAAAGTCAATGAGATTCTTCTCCGGGGAACTACTGAAAAATCAGTTTTGGAGAGTGAGAAACAAAGGGAAAATAGCTACAGGCATGAACTTTAATAGTGAATGACTTATGGAACAGAACACTTCATCATCATGGATAAAAAAAATCAATTCAAATATCCTAAAAAATTATCTTATAAAAATATCTACATTAAAATTTTAGCCTGAAAGCTTTAGCTTCAATTTTATAAAAAGGCAATCTTTGAAAGGATCTGGCTCAGGATTATACAAACATTACACAACAGATATCAAAGTAAGACAGCTCAAAAATCATGCTGGGGGATATTGCAACTGGTTTGTCATGAAATAGAATTAAGTATTCTTATTGCATAGCAGAAAATGAGGTCACTGTCATTTGCATAATACTGCAACTTTTTAGAAGGAAGAGATGCCATTAGGTACTTAAGAGAAAGAACTTTGGAATTCAGAGTCTGACTTCCATGTTGTCCAAATCAGTATCCCAGTGGCGTCTAAGGTGCTTCTAACCTTGGGCCGCCAATTCCATTTCATTACTGTGATCAGCTTTCAGATACACCAGCGGCAAAGCTGAATTCACAAGCAGTTGGCCACCACCCCAATGCGGGGGTGAAGGATTCGCATAGACTTGAAAACAAGTCTGTTGTGTCCACTACAGAGAGAGAATCGTACCTGGTGATAAAGAGACAGCAGGTTTTAAATGGCATCTGTGTGCAGCCAGAGCAGCCTGGCTGGTGGTGACGTACCAGCGTTCTAGTCCCTGTGAGAAAGGACACGAGACGATGAAATGAACATGGCCTCAGTCCTACTACCAGCAGGGAGCAGTGCTTCTGGGAAGGGAGGCAGGAGGTGGAACCAATAGCAAAACTCCAAAAGCAGAAAACAGGGAGAAAACTAGCTCTCAGGGAAGATGAAAAACATAACATCCCCCACAAAAGCACGGAAGTCCAGCTCCCGGGTATTGGGAAACGGGGTGGGAAGTTGACCTTTAATCTGAAATCAGAAGCGATGTGAATAGCACATATCGGATCCCAACACCCAACCCCATCCCGGCCACACACCAAAACAAAGTCCCAAACCTTCCTCCAACAGAGAGGAAGAATATTTGCAACAAAACGCTCATTCCATCAGCTTCCAAGCCAGAACCAGGCAGCGCTCTGAAACCACAGTCATCTGCAGGGCCAGCTGAGAACACAGCACCCAACTGAAGAGATGCTTTGATTCCTTTAGAGGCATTTCCTCCAGGCCCAACAAAGCTGGGTATTTTAGCCTCTTCCTGAAGCCGCTAAAAATTCCGGATGCCTTGGTGCTGCTCTCCAAATGTCTCACTGAAATAACATCTGCTCAACATCAGAAGATATTTCTTCTTCAGGAGAGTTGAATGTTTAGTGCACAAAAAAATATACAGTAAATACCCAAAGCAGCCAACCAGCTAGGGAGGCTAGTGGCTTTCTAACTGCAGGGGTAAGCTGGGGAGATGCCAGTCTCCTGCAGCATCTGCTTGGAAATAGCCCAGTTCTACCAGAAGTCTAACATCAGTTTTCATAAAGCCCCTTAGTTCCTGTAAGTGGACCCCAAAATCAGAGAGGGTTGAACTCCAGCCCCCGCAGTGTGAGGCAACTCTCCAGACACAAGGCCTTCCCTCCTTATGCCAATAGAAATGACTTGCTCCTTTAGGAAAGGCTTTATGTTTCTTTGTTTTTTTTAATGAAAATGATTCCATGTGCCCTCAAATACCTGCCCTCTCCAGATGCTTGAAGTTCTGCTATTAATTTTTCCTGTGAATTAGCAAATCTCTTATCAAGCTCCTCTTTTAAAATGTAAATATCACTGAGAGAGATCACTCATCTGGGGCATTTACCACCATCTCTTCCCTCTCAGGAAAACAATGAGGAGGTGAGGATTCTGAAGGATGGAGAAGGGGTATAGGCCTTGGAACAGGAGGAAAGCATAAGAAAAGAAAGATGAGGACATTGGACAGACCTGACCACTGCCATCAAGTCCTGAGGGCCAGCCCCAGCTGCTATATTCTCCTTTGAAGTCATCCGTGTCCATGTAAATCACATGTAACCCCACCCAAAGTAGGGGCAAAACTATCTTTGGGTTTGGAGGTAGGGTGACCCTTTATTTATCCTCCAAACCAGAATACTTCTGAGAGTAAAAGGAGATGCTGTGAAAAATTAAGCCTAGAGAACAAGTATACATGGGGGACTGCCCTATCACAGGAAAGCTCAGAAGTAGGATCCACTCTGAAACCATTTTGGGCAGGAACTACCTTACCACTTTGGTTTGTTTTTTTGTTTTTGTTTTTCATGTATATAGAGATTTTTTTTTTTCTCCAGTGTGTCACTCAGGGCTTCTCTGAAGAGCTGGTTTTCCCAGCTGAAGAGACACAAACTTTCCCTAACCTGAATCAGAGACCAGTGGCCCAAGGATTAGGCAGTTGTCACCTGCTTCCTGGAGGAGAGCCCAGAGAGGGGCTGGGGAACCCATATGTTCCCAGTTCTAGCACACAGAGGACATGGTGCACATTCAAGAATGCCCAGCTCTTCTGGAGGCAGTGCCAGTAGTCAAAGCCAGTATGTGGGCATGGTCAGGGCAATGCCTTTCTCACCAGTTGCTTTTGGACATTCCTGGCCTCCAGAAGACAGCAGCTTTAGTCATCTCAGGGTTCCCACAGGGCAAATCCAGAAGAGAGGTTTCTGTGATTTGATTTTTAGCATAGAAGGATCAGTAGTAAAGAAATCCAGTAGATTGTCACACATCCCCCAACTTAGTGAAACACCATGTTGTACACACACATACACACACACACACACACACACACACACACACACACACACACTCCAGGTTCTCATGTATTCCTATAGAAACACACAAAAAAAGCCCAAAGGTGCTGGAGCTGTCAGGAACCCACTGCTCAGGGAGGAAGCAGGTCACCAGACTTCATGCCGGACGCACTTTGCCACATCGCCACATGGGAGGGGGCATTTCAGGCTCCACTGCAGACCCTCGCAACAAGTGGTCCCCCAGCAGTCATGGCACTGCCGTTCTCAGTCACAGGCAGCACCCCTCCCCTCCCGCACCTCCTGGCAGTGGGAGTTGGGGTCACAATGGTTTGTGAATCACAGCAACACCTAAGAGGAAAGGAAGAGAGAGTTAGCAACTTAGCTTCTCCAAAGTTATTCGGAGTCTCACAGAGTTTATGAGTCCAAGTCCATCCTCCCAAGGGCGCCAGAACAGGAAAATGGGTATGTTTGTATGGAAGGGCCTATGGACTCAGGCTGCCGGTGGCTGGCACTTTTCCACTCTCATGGCCAAGTTCCAGCAAGATACTTGAACCCATAAGTACAGTCCTTCAACACCACAGACATAGTGTTAGTAGTCTCCACCTCCCCCCCACCCCCACCATGCATCACATGCACACAGTTCCTATGGTAACAACTCCTTTCCTGACCCCAGGACTGCAGTGACCAACACTCCATGCTGTCAGTGGACCCCCAGAGGTGGCTCCAAGGATCTACATCTCTATCACTTTAAGAGAAGTGACAGTGATTCCTGCCTACTTTTATGAGACACTGAAATGAACTGAAAAGAACAGTGGACTGACTTTCTGGAAGTAAGATAAACTGAATTCCAATTGTAGCTCTGCCACCACTCAAGCTGCACTGTGGCCTCAGGCAAGTCCATTTACCTCTTTAGGCTCAGCTCCCATAATATTCAAGGTCACCTAAATGAAAGACCCCTCCACAGCTAAATTTTCTACTTGGAAAAATACTCCATGGATGACTGGGGGTGCTCAGTTGGTTAAGCTTCCAACTCTTGATTTTGGCTCCAGTCAAAATCTCACGGTTCACGAGAAGCAAGTTCCACATTGGGCTCTGTTGCTGACAGCTTGGAGCCTGCTTGGGATTCTCTCTCTGCCTCTTCCCACTCTTACATGTGCACTCTCTCAAAATAAATAAACTTAAAAAAAATCCAGACATGTCTGTGTTATGGTTTTAGCCAAGTTTGAACCACCCTCAAAAGCTAACTTTGTGAATCCACAGGTGACCCTAGAATTGCTCTGTAATGTGGCAGATACCATTGGTTGATTCAGCCAACATCCTTTCTACATGCTGTCCTCTACTGCAGAGACCAGCACCATACACACTCAGATTCCCAGACTCTGGGAAGTGGAAGTGCCATGTGACTCAGTTCTGGGGGAGACCATTGTCAATGCACATCTGCCAGTGCTGCAGCTGTGACTGTGTTCCTTGTCCCTCCTCAGAGAACACTTATGTAGGGCCCAAAGTAGCAGCAGCAGCTACTGGTATAGCTGGCAAAACAGAAAAGGGAGGAGAAACCTGGTTCTCCAGTGATAGTCTGAGCCCCTTGGCCAGCCCCAGACCTCTTACCGCCTGAGACAAATAACATACCATCCTTATTTAAGCAATTACCTGTCAGTTTTTCTGGTATCTGCACCTGAACAAAATCCTAATTTACAGGTAAGGTATATTGGAATGGTGTAACTGGAGCCTCATTTTAACATACTCCCATGGCTATAAAATCTGGTTGCAGATGAGACGGAGAGAACATTGCTAAAAGAAATGCCAGGATAGCCCTGTGGTGAGACTGTGCTAAGACATCCGTTGCATGTGAATTCTGAATAAAGGTGTGGACAGGAAAGCTCAGAGGTGAGCAGCAGCAGAGCCCCCAGACGCGGATGGGCTGCCTGACCCTGAGAACATCTTGAATGCATCTCAGGATTCTTTTTCATAAGGCAACATGGTTTTTTGTTTTTCTTTTTAAGTAGGCTCCTGTATTGCTTTTTATATAAACTTCTTCTTTTGATTATAAAAGTAAAATATCCTCATTATGAGAAATTTGGAAAACGCAGAACACAAGGAAAAGAAAATTTCTAATCCCTTCATACAAAGGGAATCACCATTTAAAAAAATGTTTCTTATGTTTTCAAATGTTTTTTGGACTATTTCCTGGCTTCCAAAAATAATATGGATCATTTACCAATGGGCTGCTACGTGCCAGGGGAGGTGCTGTACTAAGCGTTCCACGTATCTATACAAAAGTTGTAAGAGACGTGGTATGATTTTACTCTCATTTTACAAAGGAGAACACAAGAGGTTTAGTCAGACTGATTACTCATCCCAGAGTCTCAGGGCAAGGAGTAGAATTGGAAATCAAATTCATATCTGATTCTAATATCCTTTTTCTTCAGTGGTAGCTCTTCAAACGTCCATGACCCAGGACTACTGGAGCGAGCTCATGTGGTATATACCTTATGCATCCTCCCTTTTTAGCCTAACAGCCTGTCACAAACATTTTCTTATGACATTAAAAACACTTCCACTGTATTTCACAGTCTAACTATTTCCCTGATGGTAGACATTAGGTAGCTCTCCACCCTTTGCTGTCATAACTAATACTTCAACGAATAACTCTCCATAAATCTCTACATTTCAGAAAACACAACAATTCAAAATCTATGGGATGCGGCAAAGGCAGTCCTGAGAGGAAAGTACATTGTTCTCCAGGCCTATTTCAAGAGATTAGAAAAAGCGCAAGTGCAAAATCTAACAGCTCACCTAAAGGAACTAGAGGCAGAGCAACAAGAACGCCCTAAACCCAGTAGAAGAAGAGAACTAGTAAAAATCAGAGCAGATATAAACAACATAGAGACTAAAGAAACAACTGAACAGACCAATGAAACCAAGAGTTGGTTTTTTGAAAAAATAAACAAAATTGACAAGCCTCTAGCCAGACTTACCAAAAAGAAAAGAGAGAGCACCCAAATAGACAAAATCATGAATGAAAATGGAATTATTACAACCAACCCCTCCGAAATACAAGCAATTATCAGGGAATACTATGAAAAATTATATGCCAACAAATTGGACAACTTAGAAGAAATGGACAAATTCCTAAACACACTCACTACCCAAATTCACACGGGAAGAAATAGAAAACCTGAACAGACCCATAATGAGTGAAGAAATCGAATCAGTGATCAAAAATCTCCCAACAAATTAGAGCCCTGGACCTGATGGCTTCCCTGGGGAATTCTATCAGACATTTAAAACAGAATTAATCCCAATTCTTCTCAAGCTATTCCAAAAAATAGAAATCGAAGGAAAACTCCCGGACTCATTTTATGAAGCCAGCATCACTCTGATTCCCAAGCCAGACAGAGATCCAGCAAAAAAAGAGAACCACAGGCCAATATCCTTGATGAATACGGATGCAAAAATCCTCAACAAGATCCTTGCAAATCGAATCCAGCAGCACATAAAAAGAATCATCCACCAAGATCAAGTGGGATTCATTCCTGGGTTACAGGGCTGGTTCAACATTCGCAAATCAATCAATGTGACACCTCACATCAACAAAAGAAAGGATAAAAACCATATGATCCTGTCGATAGATGCAGAAAAAGCATTTGACAAAATACAGCATCCCTTCTTAATAAAGACTCTAGAGAAAGTCGGGATAGAAGGAACCTACTTAAACATCATCAAAGCCCTCTATGAGAAGCCTTCACATAACATCATCCTCAACGGGGAAAAACAGAGAGCTTTCCCCCTGAGATCAGGAACACGACAGGGATATCCACTCTCACCACTACTGTTTAACATAGTGCTGGAAGTCCTAGCATCAGCCATCAGAC